GGGTTATTGCAGAACAGAACGCAGAGAACAGAGATGGCTCAGTAGGAGAGAGCGAAGGGCAAAGCACTTGCTCATGACTGCAGCAATTAGGTCGTCAGAGAGATGCTGGTTATTGGATGGCTACCTGCCTGGCGGCTTGGCAGAGGAGACTCTGGCTGCGGATATGGTAAATAAGTCATATATGTGTGTGTGCGTGTGTGTGTGTGAAGGTGATATATATATATATATAATATATATATATATATATATATATATATATATATTATATATATATATATAATATATATATATATATATATTATATATATATATATATATATATATATATAAGTATATATATATATATATATATATATATATATATATATATATATATATATATATATAATATATATATATATATATATATATATATATATATATATATTATTTTTTTCCTTCCTGGAGCCTTGTCATAGGAGACTGGGTGCGGATATGGTAAATAATATATATATATATATATATATATATATATATATATATATATATATATATATATATATATATATATATATATATATATTATATATATATGTATGTGTGTGTGTGTGTGGTGTGTATAAATATTATATATATCCATATTTATCTATCTATATCTATATATATATGTATAGATATGAATATATATGTATGGATAGATGTATATACACATACATTTTTTTTCTGATAGCAAATTGAAATTCAAATCAGCGTTACAGCGTATAGCCATGGAAAAGGATCATCCAAGTCTAACATCCAATAAATTGAAAATCAGATGAAATATGATGCTTCCAAGTACCATCCGATCAAGCAACGGGAATTATCCTTCTATTAGCAATACGTGCTCTCGCATTTCGCAAACCTGCTGCCTAAAAAGTTTCCCTGAGTGTAGCAAAGTTAATATTCCATCGACTAACTCTATCAGCTGTTAGGTAACTGTAGAAAAAGCGTTCGTGATAAAATACCTCCAGAAAATGTTGCCTTTTTGAGGTGAAACGTTTTGTTCCATGCTAATTTGCTTGAGGCTGATAAGGTGCTGCTGAATAGAGTGCCTGTAACTGCTTTTGAGGAGAACGAATACATACTTAAATATTCACTGGCATTAATGCATCCACACTACTCGGATAGAATGGGTAGAAGGAAACGTTGGGAAATCCAAATATTTACTTTTTTAGGGAAAAAAGAAACAAAGAGGATATACCCTTTGAAAAAAAAACACCACCTCACCAGAAGAATAAGAACTACTACTTCAACTGAATTAATACTTCAAACATTCATTCTTACAACTGCTGATGAGAAAAGCATTAACAATATCCAAAAGCTCTTGTTACAACCCCCTGTCCCCGCAGTAACTAGCTTCGGGCTCAGCTGTTACAATACTGGTGTTTCAGGAGACCTGCATGTGGATATGTGGAGGGGAGAGGAGAGGTTTCGAATGGCGTGGCTTCCAGACCAGGGGTTAAATTAAACACATTCTCGCCTCTATGCACGATAGCTACATAACGAGATGTCTGGGAGGAGGGTGGATAAGGAAGAGGATAGGAATGAGAGATGAAACAAAGGACTGAAGAGCAAAAGGAAATGTGATGAAGTTCTGGAAAAGTAAATGCTCTAGAGACCTCCAAAAGTAAGAAAAGCAGGATGAAAGTATTAAATAAGGCAGCAAGAAAAACAGATAAAAAAGTGGAGGCAGACACTGAATGCTAATTTTGAATGATCAAAATAAAGAGAATAACTCTCAACCTTCCAACTAAAAAGTCGCACAAATAGAGAAATACCTCAATGACAATAACAAGTGGGACAAACAAACGTCAGGTCTATCTGACATCAGAAAAAAAATAATAATTACGCAACAATAACAGATGAATAACAGCAGAAGCCAAACTACAGTGACGGCAAAGGATAATTAACGAGAGAGAGAGAGAGAGAGAGAGAGAGAGAGAGAGAGAGAGAGAGAGAGAGAGAGAGAGAGAGAGAGAGAGAGAGAGAGAGAGAGAGAGAGAGGATAGGGAGGGAGGGAGGGAGAGACAGACAGACAGATAGACAAACAGAGAGGCAGAGCCAGAGAGAGAGTAGAAATAAAAGGAAAAAAAAAAAAATTAAAAATACCATCAACAACGCCGAGACATGACATGGCCTTCAGGAGCTTGCTGAAGATCTTGCAACAGAGGCTAAGAGAACAAGAGACCATTTCTAGATATAATTTGGTAGTCGCTCAATAGATGTCGCAGAATGCAATATTGTCTAAGGGGCTGTCGACAAGGCTGCCCTGGTCGTTTCAAGGCAGAAGCTCCACGTAGCGTATAGCTTAGCACTGAATTCAAGCTTGTCTATGTTGGTTGTATTTCTGTTATGATAAGGTAGAGACTGTAGGGACATGTTGCGCGTTATACGGATGTCTGTGTATGATGACTGCAGTTTCCAATGATAGTACTAGCTACTCCAGAAGAACAGAAGGGAGAATTTGACAGGGAATAAGAAGCCTTTGCAATATATACACACATACAAATTTATATTATATACATACACGCACACACACACATACACACCATGTGCCCGTGTTCGTCAGGAAGAGAGAGAGAAAGAGATAGGAGGGGGGATGGGAAACAGATAGAAAGAAAGCAGATAGACTAACAGAAAGAGAAGGAGAAAGAAATATAAACCCACACAGAAATATGGGAACGCAATCCCCCCCCTCCCCTCCACTCCTCCTTACTCCCTCCACTCCCTCTCTCTCCTAGCACGTCACTCCACTCCGTCTCGTAACCTACTTGTTTCCCCTTTCATCATGGGACTCCATTGATCAGTGCCTTGGCCGTTCAGTGAGTTGGCTCGCGTTGTGTGGCGATTCGTAGAAAGTGTGTGATCTGCGCTGGTGTTGACTTGCATCTCGCGGAAGGGAGGATATTTTTTGTTTTTATCTTATTATTATTATTTATTTATTTTTACTTTATTTACTTTTGTCTTGTAGTTTTTTTTTGTTATTGCTGTTGTTTGTTGTGGTTATTGTTGATGTATTTTTTTAGTTGTTATTGCTGTTTTGTTGCTGTTGTCGGTGCTGCGTTATGGGTGTCTTCGTTTTTCTTGTTGTCTTTGTTATACTTATTGTTGATGTTTCTATTCTTGTTATATTTTTGTTGTTATTTTTGTTGTCTTTGCTGTAGTGTTTTTTTATTGTTGTATTTTTGCTATCATTATTGCTGTATTTGTTTTTGTTGCTGTATTTTTTGTATTTGAATATGTAGTTCGCGTTTTATGCTTCTCTCTCTCTCTCTCTCTCTCTCTCTCTCTCTCTCTCTCTCTCTCTCTCTCTCTCTCTCTCTCTCTCTCTCTCTCTCTCCTCTCTCTCTCTCTCTCTCTCTCTCTCTCTCTCTCTCTCTCTCTCTCTCTTTCTCTCTCTCTCTCGTTCCCATTATATTTCCCTCGCCCTGTTTGTGTGATCTCCATTTCCATCCTTCTTCCCTCTACATTCTTTCTTTCCTTTTTTCTTTCCTTCTCCCTTCTATTTTCATCAGAGCCTTTTTTCATTCGTCTGCGACCTACTTTCAATCCCAATTTCTATCATGCTGAGATTGGCGACGCACACGAGAGCAAGCGACACATGTCTTTCTTGAGAAGGTATTGCATTTCAAGAAGAAAGGTAAATAGATAGATACCAAAAAAAAAAAAAAAAAAGAATAGGAAGAAATAAAAGATAGATAAAAAAAATCAATTCAAAATCAAAAAAGAATATGAAAGATAAAATCAAACAAAGAAAAGAACAAAAATAAATAAATGAAAAATAACATAGTGATTATCAAATAACAAGGCATTAACTTTACATTGACGAATTGTGCCCTTAAGGATATCGGCGTCAGTTTGAATTCCAGAACAAATGAACAGATGAATAGATGAATGGATAGATAGATAAATGAACGAATGAATAGATGGATTAAAAAATGGTCAAATAAATAGATGAATTAAGAAACGAAAATAAATATATAAATATATAAATAGATATGAAACTCAATGGATTGCAACTGAATATGTAAATGAACGAATGAATAGATAGAGCAATGAATAAATATAAGAATGAATGAATGTCTAAGCATAGGAAAAAAAAAAAAAAAAAAAAAAAAACAGGAAATGTCGACATTGTTATGACCATTATGGGTATTAGTATAGTTAAATCATCATACCGAAGAAAAATATATAAAATGATAGCAAAGAAAATACATGAAATCATACCAAAGGAAAAATATTAAATCATACCAAATATATAAAGAAAAGAAAATATATAATCATACCAAAGAAAAATATATAAAATTATACCAAAGGAAAAATATATAAAATTCTACCAAAGGAAAATATATAAAATCATACCAAAGAAAAATATATAAAATCATACCAAAGGAAAAAATATATATATTCATACCAAAGTAAAAATCGTAATGGTGATGATAATGATAATGCTATTAATGATGATGATGATGATAATGCTATTAATGATGATGATGATAGCTATGATCATATTCATATTCCTAATTATCATAATGCTGACAAAAACAATTCTGATAGATATAGCAATAGTAATATTGATAATCATCATAATGATAATATGATAATGCTAGTGAAATAATGATACGCATTTGATACGATCATCAGCATCACTGATATCACCACCATGATATAAAATATGACCAAGATCACCTCCATAATCATTATATTATTTTATTTATCACTGTAATATATCATCTATCATCATTATATCATACATCATTCATTATTTATCCCCTCATTTTAAGACGAAGAGATAAGCCCCCCCTACTATCCCCCTCCTCCTCCCTCCCCTCTCCGCTAGCTAGGTCCTGAACCATATTCATATTGACAAATGTGGAAAAATGAATGAGAATGAATATTCACAAATACAAGGGATGTATTTAACCGGTTTCGAGTACATCTTCGTCAGAATTGAACGATTTTCAGTGTATTTGTTGACGGAGATGTATTCGGAACCGGTTAAATGCATCTCCTGTATGTGTGAAGATATGCATTCTCATCCACGCCTCTTCTACGCGGCTGGGTCTTCCTCGGGTATTGGTGCTGAACCAATTCGGGCGGCGGGATGCGTGAGGGCGGAGGAGGGCTTAGTATTATGAATATTTATCATGGGATTTTGTTGATTTGTGTTCCTTTTTCTTACGTCATTGTTATTATTGTTTTCTTTTTGAGCTTTCGTTTTCTTGAATTTTCTGTATGTGTCTGTGTGTTTGTCTTTCCGTTTCTGTCGGTTTCTCTGTTTCTATGTCTCTCTCTATCTATCTGTTTATCTTTTTTTTCTCNCCCTCCCTCCACTTCTCTTCCTATCCCTTCTCTCTCTCTCCCTCTGCTCTTCCATAAAAACTACTTATATACGTATGAGCGTGGAAATGTATAAGTTTGGTTTAATTTCTTCTTTTACAAACTTTTTAAAAAAAACTCCCCCACTCGACTAAACTAAAATCTGATCTGGCTTTAAATTCATTCAGATCAATCTTTAAATAAAGATCAAAGATTAAAACAGACTTTGAGAAATTAAAGCTTTCTACCTACACGAAAAATAAATAATTTACGACATAATAACAGATTTCCTTGTTTACAAAAACAAACAATAACAAGAAAAAACAATTAAACCTTAAAAAAAACAAAAGACTAAACAGACGATGAGAAAAAAATTACACTTAGATTCCCACAATAACATTTATCAATATTGATGAGCTTACCACTTTAATTTGTCAACCAGCTCACAAAGTCAAAGTATTTAAATAATGAACCAATAGCAATGCACGATGGGGCCAACACATCCATATAGAAATAAACAATGAAAGAAATAAAAAAAAAACATGGATGGAGATGAAACCAGACTAAACCCACACCCCCACCCCACACCCTGCCCCCCCCCCTCGTTCCCAGGGTAGAAGGGGTAGTGGGGGGGAGGGGGGGGAGGGGAGGAGGAAGGGAGGCGAGCTTTGCCATATCCTCGGTTTTCTTCCCATACATTTGGCGATCAGAAAACCCGTATTTTAAGCTAATTTTTTTTTTCTCTCTCTCGGTCTATACTCTCTCAATCTCGCCAATATATATATCACGTTTGCAATGCGCGTCCCAGGGGTATCATAAATAAAATCAAACAATCACAACACGACAGTAAAAACAACAACAACAAAAAAACAAACAAAAAAAAATTGAAAAAGTATATGAAAAGAACAACAACAAAGCTGGTCGAGCGAGGTGGTAGGGTGACGTTCGTGAGGGGGGGGTGGGGGAGGGGGAGGGGAAGGGTAGGTAGAGTAGTGGGAGGCAGGGGAATGAGAGGGAGGAGAGGGGGGGGGGAAGAAGAATGAAGGAGGGGAATACGAGAGAGAAAAGAATCATAGAAGTGAGATAGTAGTAGATAAATAGATAGAAAGAGACAGAAGAAAGATAGACAGAGATAGATAGAGGAGAAGAGAAAAAAAAGAGAATGGGCGGGGGAGGAGTGGATGGAGAGCGAGGGGAAGGGGAAGAGAATAGAGGAGAGGAGCATAGCTGGATGGAAGGATGGAGGAGGGAGGGAGAGGGTAGTCCAGAGGGTGGGATAATAGAGAGAGGGAGGGAGGGAGAGAGAGGGAGGGAGGGAGAGGGGGGGGGGAGGGAGGGAGGGAGGGTGAGGGAGGGAGAGGGAGGGAGGGAGGGAGGAGGGAGGTCCTGAGAGGGCAGGAGGGAGGGAGGGAGAGGGAGCGAGAGGGTGGGAGGGAGGAGGGAGGGAGGGTAGGAGAGGAGCACAGTCGCCCTTGCCCCAGGCTAAGAAATCGAAGTGTTGCCTTCACTGACCGCTAATAAAACTCCGCCACACGACGATCCCCAGTATTTTCGGACGCCCAACTGTTAATGCACTCGGCACTTGTTGTACAGGTGTGGTGGGGGGTGGGGGTGACCCCTTCCCCCTCTCCCTCCCCCCCTCCCCCTCTCTCCTTCCCCTCCCCTCTTCCGGCTCCCCTTCCCTTGTCCCCTCCCCCTCCCTCCTTCCCCTTCCCCTCCTCTCCTCTCCTCTCCTCCTTCTCCCTCCTCCTACCCTGTGCTATCTGCGCGCTATATCGAGAGAGTTGTTTCGAAGGAGGAAGAGAGGGAGGGAAGGAAGGAGACGGAGATATATTGATTGGGAGATAGAGCAGGGGATGGGCGGAGGGTGAAAGAGAGAGAGAGAGAGAGAGAGAGAGAGAGAGAGAGAGAGAGAGAGAGAAGAGAGAGAGAGAGAGAGAGAGAGAGAGAGAGAGAGAGAGAGAGAGAGAGAGAGAGAGAGGGGAGCAGAGACAGAGAGTGAGAAAGAGAAAGAGAACAGAAAACAGAGACAGACAGACAAAGAGAGACCAAGAAACACAGAGAAACACACCCAGAACAAACAAAGATCAAGCGAAAGAAACGACAGAAAGACCAAGAGAGAGCGAGGGGAGAGTACCGCAGCGCTCCCTGAAGCATCCCAAGCCATCCCAGCCCGCCCTCCCAAGCCATCCCAGCTATCCCCAGCCCGCCTCCCAGCCATCCCAGCTCCCAGCCCGCCACCCAAGCCATCCCAGCTATCCCAGCCCGCCTCCCAAGCCTATCCAGCTATCCCAGCCCGCCTCCCAAGCCACCGCTATCCCAGCCCGCCTCCCAAGCCATCCCAGCTATCCCAGCCCGCCTCCCAAGCCATCCCAGCTATCCCAGCCCGCCTCCCAAGCCATCCCATCCCAGCCCGCCTCCCAAGCCATCCCAGCTATCCCAGCCGCCTCCCAAACCCATCCCAGCTATCCCAGCCCGCCTCCCAAGCCATCCCAGCTATCCCAGCCCGCCTCCCAAGCCATCCCAGCTATCCCAGCCCGCGCTCCCTCGGCCCAGGCGCGGAGACGAGAAAATCCCTCAGCCATACATTTGTTTTATTCTATCATTTCTGTTATTTCGTTATCTTATTACTTATTATTCGTTAATGTCAATCTCTTTTATTTCATATTCGACTTTTTTTTCCATTATTTTTTATTCGACTCTTTTCGTTATCTTTTACGTCTTCGTTATCATCATTCCCTTTTCTCCTTATTCGTTTGACTTGCTCGAGCTCTTTCTCGGTCCCCGATAATTTTATTTAGCAATTAGGTACAAAAAGGGCCAAGTTCTGAATTTTGCTTCTGGAGAGAGTAAATGGGGGCACTTAGGAAGGGGAAGAGGCGAGTAAGAGGCGAGTAGGGGCTTAATAGGGGCGAGTAAGGGATAAGTAGGGGCGAGTAGGTTCGCCCACGCGATGGCCGTCAATGAACAACGGCGAGGAAGAGGAGGAGGAGGATAAGGATGAGGAAGATAAGGAGGAGGAGGAGGATAAGGATGAGGAAGATAAGGAGGAGGAGGAGGACGAGGAGTAGAAGGCCCCGCAGAGCCCGCGCGGGCCCTCGGAAGAGCGAGCACCCAACCCCAGCAGGAGTCATTGCCCCTCCTTCGGCGTCGTTCTCACGAAGCAGCTCCAATGGCCGGCCTGTGGGCGCTCATACCAAGTGGCCAGTGCATGCCACGCGGCCCCCGCAGACGGCATGCATGAGAGCGCCGCGCCGGCGCATCTGCAGACGCGGATTTTTCACATTACTTCCCGCTCATTCGCAAAGCGGTGGCGGTGCGCAGCTTAATCGCTTGGCGAAGGTTCGGCTTAAAAGGATCTCTAGTGTTTGTGTGTGTATATATATATATATATATATATATATATATATATATATATATATATATATATATATATATATATATATATACATATGTACACACACACACACACTTTATGGGCTTTTGAACATACGATGAAATACAAAGAAAAAAAAAACAATAACACGAGAAAAGGCGAGAGAGCCCGAGAGAAGCCAAGCCGCGCACGAACCCAGAAGCCCAGCCGCCAGCCGCCAGACTCAATCGGTGCCCCGCATTCGAACAACAAAGAGCCCGAGACACAAACACCACCACAGCGACGGGCGGCGGGCGGCGGGCGGCGGGCGGCGGGGTCACAGACGGCCCGCGAACGCCCCCGCGAGAAGGCCTGGGTCGCCGGCCGCTCGCTCCGCCTCGGTCCCGCCGAACACGACCTACGATCCCTTTGTTGTCGGTAATGCAAATTTATGACGTAATGGTCGGTTACGGGAGCTGTTCGGATTATTAAAACTTGCCTGTGAGGGATCGGGCGAGCGGGAAAAGCGAGACTCGTTTGTTCCGAAGCTCATGTGGGTTCTGGTCGGTTACTGGCACACAGGACGCGCTTAAGGTCACTGAGGCTGTCCATGAAAGTCCTGTGCGTTCGCTGAGGATGGTATTCGGTCTAGGCTTCATACCCGACGATTTTTTGATTTTGATTAAACACCGTAGAATTGGTCAGCGTATTCAGAGTATGTCTGCCGATATGTCTGTCTAGCGTTCGTCCACCTGCTTGCCTGTCTGTCTGTCTGCCTGCTTGCATACCTGCCTTGTCTTGTCCTCCCTGTCTGCTTGCATACCTGCCTGCCTGCTTACCCGTCTTTTCTGTCTGTCTATCTGTCTGTGTCTGTTTGTCTGTACCTCCCTCCCCCTCACCCCAGAGTGCCAAAACAAGTCCGGCCAGATAGAGCCTGGCACCGCGGGGGCCAACGACCCAGCGGAGGGCCACAGTGCCACTCATGGATGACGTGACGAAGTGTGTGGAGGGGGGGGGGTGAGTCAATAAAAGGAAAGAAGAGAAAACCAGAAAGATAGACGTGATAATGAAAGGAAGAAGAGAGTGTGGATAATGACATGCGCATGGAAGAACAAAGGAGATAATATGAGAGAGGAGAAGAGAAGAAAATGGAAAATCGTGAAAGACATGAGAAGAAAATGGGGATTCATGAGAGAGGAGAGAAGAAAATGGGAAATTATGAGATGGAAGGAGAGGAGAAATGGGGAAATACGAGACGTGACGAAGGAAAGATAGAAACGGAAGAAGGGAGAATGAGAGAGGAGAAAAATAATTGGAGGATATAAGAAGGATTTAGAGCGACAATGATGACGGTTTCGAATAATAAAAAAAAAAAAAAAATATACAAGTGAAAGTCACACAGATTACGATAGGGCCAAGGAGGGAGGGGGGGAGGTTAGGAAGGGAGGAGGAAAGGAGGGGGAGGGGGAGAGGTGGAGGAAAAAGAGGAATGAGGAGAAAGAAGAAGAGGATGAGGAGGAGAAAAAAGAAAAGGAAGAAAAGGAGAAAGAAGAACAGGAAAAGGAGGAGAAAGAAGATTTGAAAGAGGTAGATAAATAAGAAGAGGAAAAGGAAGAGGAGTGAAAGGAAGAAGAATAAGAGAAACACCAAGTATACAGTAACTAAGCTCGAACCAATAACACAATAAAACAAGCAAAAAAAACAAAAAAAACAACAACAAAACAAAAACAAAAAAACATGTAAATAAACAAACAAATGACACGATAAGGAAAAAAACGCAAAAAAATATATAAAAAGACTACACTCAGAGAAACCACGAGGGTCCCTCCCACACCCCAAGAGAAAAGTGTGTTAAAGAGGGAGGAAGTGAAAAAGAGTGAAATAAGAGTGAGAGAGAAAGAAAATGTATTCAGGGGAGAAAGAAAAATGTTAAAAGAGGGAGAGAAAAGTGTTAAAAGAAAGATAAGTGTGTTCAAAGAGAAAGAGAACTGTGTTAAAAGAGAAAGAAAAGTGTGTATTAAAAGAGATAAAGAAGAGTGTGTTAAGAGAGGGAGAGAAAAGTGTGTTAAAAAGGACCTCTGTACAATTGAAAAAGATTGCCATGGTCTCCTTTGAAAGCGGGAGGGAGAAGGGAGGAGTGGGAGGGAGAAGATGGAGGAGGAGGAGGAGGGAGGAGGAGGGTGAGGAATAAGGGGGGTGGAAGGAGGAGGAGGAGACGAATAATAATAATAATAATAATAATAATAATAATATAATAATAATAATAATAATAATAATAATAATAATAATAATAATAATAATAATAATAATAAAAGAAAGAAGGAGTAGAAGAAGAAGAAGAAGAAGGAGTAGAAGAAAAATAGGAAGAAGAAAAGTAGAATATAAGGAAAAAGGAATAGGAGGAGCAAGAAAAGGAGCAGAAGAAGGAGGAGGAAGAGGGGGAATGGGGGAAGGAGGGAGGGGGGTGGGGGAGGATGGTGATTGTGTGACTGCATAATTGTCAAGCAGAGGGCGGTGGTTGGATGGCGAAAGAGACGAGAGAGAGAGAGAGAGAGAGAGAGAGAGAGAGAGAGAGAGAGAGAGAGAGAGAGAGAGAGAGAGAGAGAGAGAGAGAGAGAGAGAGAGAGAGAGAGAGAGAGAGAGAGAGAGAGAGAGAGAGAGAGAGAGAGAGAGAGAGAGAGAGAGAGAGAGAGAGAAGGGGGGGAGGGATACATAGATACATAGATAGACAGACAGATAGATAAAGAGGAGAGAAAGAAAGAAAGAAAGAAAAACGAAACAAAAAGAAAGAGAGAGAGATACAAAAAGAAAGGAACAGAGGATACTGAGAAATGGAGAACAGGCATGAAGGAATTAGAGAATGACTGAGATAAAAAAAAAATCTAAAAATCGAAAAAAGGCGAAAGAAAGAGAGGAAGGGAGGGGCCTCCTGCTTCAACTTGAAAGACATTGTGTCAGGCAAATAAGAGAGAGAGAGAGAGAGAGAGAGAGAGAGAGAGAGAGAGAGAGAGAGAGAGAGAGAGAGAGAGAGAGAGAGAGAGAGAGAGAGAGAGAGAGAGAGAGAGAGAGAGAGAGAGAGAGAGAGAGAAAGAGAGAGAGAGAGAAAGAGAGAAAGAGAAAAAGAGAAAGACCAAGACCAAGACAAAGACAAAGACAAAGAAAAAGAGAGAGAAAGAAAGAAAGAAAGAAAGAAACGAAACAAAAAGAAAAGAAAAAATAAACATACATTTCCTCTCGCACTTGAGGCCAAATCGTTACACCCATTTCCTCTGGATGGTCCGAGAAGAGCGTTTGCAAGTAGGTTAAATGTAGTGTAAAATTATTTCAAACAGACTCACGAGATGCGAAAATAGAGAGAGCGAAATAGCTAGATAAATGATGATGAGAGGAGAGAGAGAGAGAGAGAGAGAGAGAGAGAGAGAGAGAGAGAGAGAGAGAGAGAGAGAGAGAGAGAGAGAGAGGAGAGAGAGAGAGAGAGAGAGAGAGAGAGAGAGAGAGCAAAAGCACCCAAGTACTGTCAGAAGTTAACTCTTAAAAAGCATTAAGCGCTTGACCCCCCTCCTTCCCTCCCCACCCCTCACCCCCTCCTTCCCTCCCCCCTCACCCCCTCCTCCTCCACCCACAAGAAACATTAGCACACATGCATGAGTAAAACAACGAGATATTTTTGGTGTGGTGTTTCCCATGCCCCCTCCCCCTCCACCTTCACCCTCTCTCTCACCCTCCTTCCCTCATCCACTCCACTCCTATCCTCTCTCCCTCCTCTCTCTCCTTCCTCTATCCCCTCTCCCTCTCCTCCCTCCTCGTCTCCCTCTCCCCCTCTCATCTTCTCCTTTCTCTCCATCCTCTCCTCTTCTTCTTCCATCCCCTTCCTCCCCCTTCCCCAATCTCCCTCTCTCATCTTCTCCTTTCTCTCCATCCTCTCTTTCTCCCCCTCCCTACTTACCCTCCTCACCCCTCCCATCCTCTCCACCCTCCCCTCCCCCTCTTCCTCTCCCAGACGAAGGAACTGCTGCAGGAGACAAAGTAATCATCAGTATGTGCAATAAACTGGTTTATTCTTAATAAGAACAGTCGGGTTGCCAAGTGTGTGAGAGCGCGAGAGAGAAAGACAAAAGAAAGAGACGCGACATTTTTTTTTTCATTTTCTTGAAGAGTTAACGCACCAGTTCTAACAAACAAGTGTTATGCAAATAATCCCATTACTTTGTTGATTCTTTTGTCTAAGAAGGAGACTCCATAGAGCACACCTGCCGCGACTTCTTGGTGTCTGCCGCAGGACACTGGAAAATCCCATAATAAATAACACAGAGCATACATACAGGGCGATATTTGCATATATAATGATTGTGTGCACACTCACATACATACGTAAATAAGCGCACACAGTATACGTACACAGGCACCGGCATACACACACAAATGTGTGTGTGTGTGTGTGTGTGTGTGTGTGTGTGTGTGTGTGTGTGTGTGTGTGTGTGTGTGTGTGTGTGTGTGTGTGTGTGTGTGTGTGTGTGTGTGTGTGTGTGTGTGTGTAAGTATAAGTATGTATGTATATATGATATGTATGTATGTGTATGTATGTATAAGTATATTATATGTATGTATGTATGTATGCATGTATGTGTATGTATGTATGTATGCATATCTCCATGTACACACAATATCATCCCAAGTTTTTCGTGTGACAAATGCACAGAAAGATAAATGTTAGTGGACTAATTTTATTAAAGGAAAAAAATGGCGGTTTTTGGCATGAGACTGCGGTTGGGCAAATTTTAGAGAACATGAAATGATCATAAGAAAAGCACAGGAAATGAAGGAAAATGAGGAGAAAACGAAATAGGAATAGAGAAAGCACGTAATAAACATGGATAAAAAGAAATGGCACTTTGAAGAAAAGAAAAAGAGAGAGAGAAAAAAAGATAATCGAGGATTGAGAATGAAAATGGAAATTGCAAGAAAATTGACGAAATCAACGAAAACCAAGAAAAAAAAAAGAAATGATATATAAGAAAAAAAAAAGTTAGAAGGAAAGACCGGTTGAGAAAGAGATAAAGACAAAAAAAAACGAGAAAGCAAAAAAAGAAGCGCGCTAACCAACCCCACCCCCTTCCCTCCCCTCCCTACCCAACTTACCACCCGATGCCCGCCCTCAGCAACCTCGCCGCCCCTCCCCCCTCCCTCCCTCCCTCCCCTCCCGCTCCCTCCCCCCCCTTCCCCCCTCCCCTCCCTCCCCGCCCCTTCACGCCCCTCCCCCGCGCCCAAATGCCCGCCACTTTTTGCTAGAAAGTTCAAACTGGAAGCGTCAATTACTCACTAAGCTGTGGTCATCGTGGCCCTTATATAGAGCGGTTGTGCAGACGGTTAGTGCATCTTGCTCCTCTGGCTGGACCCGCGAGAGCTCCCCCCCCCCCTTCCCCCCCTTCCTCTTCTTCTTCTTCTCCTCTTTCGTTCGTCTTTCTCCTTCTCTCGTTCTCATTTTTTCTCTTCTTCTCTTCGTTCTTTTTCTCTTCTTCTCTTTCGTTCTCCTTTCCCTTCTTCTCTCGTTCTCTTTTCTCTCCTCTTCGCTTTTTCTCTCTTCTCTCTTCTTTCCCTTTCTTTCTCTTTCTATTTATTTCTCTTCTTTCTCTAATCCTTCTCTTCTTCTCTCGCCTCTTTCTCTTTCTTTCTAATTCTTTTCTTTTTTCTCTTTCTCCTTTCTCTCCTTTTTTCATTCGTCTTACTCTATTTCCTCGTTCTCCTTTCTCTTCTTCTCTCGCTCTCGTTTCCCCGTCTTTGTCTTCGTCGTCCTATCCTCCCCCTCTTTCGCTCCCTCTCCCCTTTCTTCCCTTCTTCATCTTTCACTTCCTCTCTCTCCCTCCTCCTTCTCCTCTCTTCTCCATTCTCTCCCTTTCGCTCTCTCATCCCTCCCCTTCTTCCCACTCGACCATCCATCACCCTTTCCTTCCTCTTCCCACTCCGCCCCCCCCCTCCCCCTCCTCCTACTC